CGAATGATTGCATCAGCGCCATTTTGAGCTACTTAGTAGAGATTGAATGAAGACTTGATGGTGGAATATGTTTGTGAAGGAAAACAAGGTTATTTATAGGGAAAGTTACAAACTGAAAGCAATTAATTATAAAAGTTTAAGCTAGGAACATCGATCGCAATAGTTAATCCAAATATAACTACATTTTATCCTGTGGATAAAGTGCTTTAGTTCCTTCTATCAATGTTGTCTTCATTGTACCTAATGTTTCTTTTAGTCTCCTCAACTGCAAGTTCGAACCATGCATCATCATTCAAAGTTTTTCTCTTTAATTTGTTTTCTTCTATCAGCAATCCAATTCTGCTTATACTTAATCTGTTGTTTTGCATCAACAATCTATGTCTTCCCTCCTTCATCTCCTCTTCAATCTTTTCTTTTTTGTACGAAGCTTCACACATTTTTGAAGTAGTATAAAGGATTGTGAGTTCCCATTCCTCAACATATTGCTTCAAATAATCGGACATTGTTAGTGGAAGTTGACTTTTAACCCATTCATCACCCAGCCTCTCCCACTCCTCGTCCATTATTGGATGTTCAAAACCAAAACCAGAAGAGATTACATCTATTGTTATAGAGAATATAGGGAAGGATAACAAGTAATAAATCTTTCAACCTCTTCCATTAAATAGGGAAGGATAAAGAATAACCCTATGACACGATTGGTCCTTGAAACTATAGTAATTTACACATTGATCATTGTACTTATGACATGATTTGACAACACTATGAAACCTCTAAGGGTAGGTGGCTGAGGTCATACCTTTTAGATGAATCTATGATAACTCTAGGGGTAGGTGGGTGATGACCATAAAGGGCTATTTTTTTTTTCATGGAGGTGATTTTTTACCATGTGTATGTGTATAAATAGGATGCCTTATCAAACCAAAAATCATAACTTCATATCAATCATATTCAATCTTAAACAATTGCTTGTCTACTTCCTTCAAGAAATGGCTGGAAACCCATCATCATCAAACCCTCAATCTACTCAAATCATGCCTACTAGGATGAAGCTACTAATAGAAAAAACTGAAGCAGAGATCAAGAAAATTAGTGATAAATGGTGGAGTAATAGAGAGAGGCGGAGTAAAATGGAGGCCGTGATCAAAGAAAAGAAGAAGACTATAAAGCAGCAACAGAAAAAGATACGAATTGAGAAAAAACGTGTGAAAGACATAGCTAAAGAGTACCCCGTGATGCAGGAAATGATCAATGAAAAGCAGTACTGGATTGAATGTTGTAAACAACTTTATCCGGAGAAGAATTAGTGTGTATGTTTATGTCTTGATGGCGTTTTTTTCATTGATGTTTTTATGGTAATGTTTATGTATTAATGGTTAATGTTAATGTATTGAAAGACAAATTGCCATTTAGTATTCAAACGACAAACCTTTTGGAGAACAAACACATTTTCTTACTTAAACCGTAGGTATCAAATACATAGTCTTGTGTAGTATCAGGTTGAGATGGACCACGTAGTCTTGTGTAGAATCAAGTTGAGATGGACCACAATCGGTTGTTCGACTAACAGATTTTTGACGACTGTTTGAAGTTCTGGGCGTCGGCCTAGGAGCTGGTGATAAGTGTTAATTTATTAACCTTATTACATCATTTTCTTAACCATTTTCATTTGTTTTATTTGCCCATTAGTGTCTTAATTGAGTCTTTTTATGTAATCTTCACATATGTATATAATAGTAGTACTATATCATATCTAATGTTAATTCCCTGTTTATGCAGATTTTTGATGATTTTTGGCCCAAGTCTTACAGCAGTCCTGTAGGAGCATGTTGGCAGAAGTCCTATAGCACCAATCAGTGAGCTGCACTTTTTGTCTGGGCCGAATTTCCTTGGGCTGCTCCCTTGAAGCTGCTGGATCTAAGGCCATGGGCATGGTCAAAGTGATAAGCACCCAATTTATACATTTTTATGTCAAGTTACCTTCAAATTAATGTTAAATAGATGCTTAAAAAGGTCCAATTTAATTTTGAGTTGGTATTTAACTTCTTGAGGCTATTTAAGTTGTAAAAGAAAAAAAATGATTAATTGTTTTTTGTAGCCAAACAGCACAGTTGTTGTAGCCAAACAACAACAATTGTTGTAGCCAAACAAGAAACAACAGCCAAACAACAGGAGAAACAACAGCCAAATAGCAGGAGAAGCTGCAGCCAAACAACACTAAAACAGTCTCCAAACAGCACTGCTGCTGTGTCCAAACAGCCCTACAGCAGCAGCCCAAAAGAAAAACTGCAGAAGCCCAAAAGAAAAACAGCAGCAGCCCAAGGCTGCTGCCCAACACCAGCCCAAAAGAGGAACAACCGGTCTTTCTTTTTAACATCGTGCAGCAGCAAGGTGGGCATCGAGAGAGAGAGAGAGAGAGAGAGAGAGAGAGAGAGACGGGAGAGCGTGGAAAGAGAGATGGCGATTAAAAGGAAGAAATCGATTGAAGGAGGAAGCTGTCGATTGAGGGGGAAAATCAAGAGGAAAAATCGAGAGGAGACTGAAAATCGAGAGAGGACAGAGCTCGAGACAGAAGGGGATTGAAGATATAAAATTCGATCAACAAATAGACAGAAATCGAAGAAGGAGGAAGCTGTCGATTGAGGGAGGAAACTGAAATTGATCAAAAACAGAAACTGAGAAGAAACTGAAATCGATTTGCAGATTTTAGAGTACATTTTGGATTTCTCAATTAGGGTTCTTCATGCTCTACTGCTTTCTACCATCAGTAAGTTTAATTTCTGTTTCGAAATAGAATTATGAATTGCTAATTTCCTGTTTCTAGTGATGGGATTATAGCTAATTTGAATTAAATTTTGTTGAGACTTGTTTAACATTGAACCTTGAATGAATTTTATTTGCGCAATTCTTGTTCAGAATAGTTCTTCATTTTTGGATTTTGGTTTTGAGAAGGATCCCTTGAATCCTTTAGCCTAAATTTGAATTGCTAGTTATGATTAGGAATTTGTAATTGTTCTTAATTTCCACTTGGTAGCAAATAGTGCATCAATAGACAACCAAGTTCATTGATTTGCATTATAGGACTGTGTAATCTAGCTTAAATGTTCGGGTTTCCGTTCGTTAGTTAGGGTTGGTGCTTGTTTATCGCTTAAGGCAATTGGCAGGTTGAATTTTATGTTCGTGACTAGAATCAACTTAATCAATTAGGAACTAATCTACCGAGCTTCTCATGCTAGTTTAATTATAAAAACAAGCGGAGTATTTGGCACGTGTCGACACTCAAGACCGGTCTAAAATCTATTGAGAAAATGTTTTTATACAAGTCAATGATACATGATTTGATAAAGAACTAGTTATACTCATCACTAGAATTTATTCGTTACTGTTCAAAGTTCTTGTGTATTTAGGCCATTTATCATTCTTCCACCCCCCCTTTCATATATACACACTTTTTTTATGAATTTGCAAACGATTAAGTCTTAGACTTACGGTTAACACTGAGTCCCTGAGGAGACGACCCTACTTATCGCTATCACAAGTTGTTTTTTAGAGATAATAGGCTTATTTTTATAAAATTCTATTATTTGCTGGACTCGACACTCATCAAATTTTTGGCGCCGTTGTCGGGGACTCGACGAGTTTAACTGTTTATGTGAAGATTGTTTCGTGTAGGTTCACCATTGCCAATTGATCTGGAAATTGAGAAAATCGCAAAGAAGCTAAGAAAGCAAGCTAAGCTAAGAAAGCAAGCTAAGCTTCGAAAGAAGCAAGGCGCTTCCACTTCTTCATCGGTTCTCAATATTTGGAAAGATATGAGCTGGCATCCGATTCAGAAGACCAGACGGAGGAAGAAGAAGAGAAACCTCATTCTGAGCAAGAAGAACTGGTCATCGAGACTGAAGAAGAAATGGCGAATCCCGAACGCACTTTAAGAACAACCTTTTTGCATCACCTATCCAGCGGAAGAGGTAAGTGCTGAACTTAAAACTGGTTTAATACACTTACTACCTCGTTTTCATGATTTAGCTAACGAAGACCCATACAAACATATGACCGAGTTCCACATGGTATGCTTGGGGATGAAGCCACAAGGCACGACGGTGGATAATCTCAAGCTGAAGACATTTCCATTCTCCCTAGTTGACACAGCTAGGGAGTGGCTTTTCTACTTACCGCCAGGATCCATCACCACTTGGGCGCAAATGGCGAGAGCATTACTGGACAAGTACTTTCCCGCATCCAAAGTCGCCAAGATTAGAAGAGAGATATGTGGGATAAAGCAAAAGGACATGGAGTCATTATACGAGTATTGGGAGCGCTTCAAGTGCCTTTGTGTAAGTTGTCCTTAACATGGTATTTCTGATGAATTATTAATTCAATATTTTTATGAAGGTTTGCTACCAATGGAAAGAAAGATGACGGATGCCGCGAGCGGAGGAGCTATAGTGAACAAGACGCCAACTCAAGCGAGGACCTTGATAGATACCATGGCAGAAAACTCCAAGCAATTTGGAGTACGGAGTGACATTGGGCGAGGCACTAGTGAGGTACATGTTAAATCCTTAGAAACTAAAATAACTGATTTGACTAACCTTGTGAAACAGCTTGCCATGGGTAATATGCCTCAAGTCAAGGCATGTGGATTTTGCTCATCAGTGGCACACCCCATCGATGCATGCCCGACTTTGCATGAAGAAGAAGAGCAAGTGAACGCCATTGGGGGTGGCAACTTTCAGAACTCAAACAACCGGGTTCCCGACCCTTTTTTGAGCACATACAACCATGGTTGGAGGCAGCATCCGAATTTGAACTATGCCCCGAGGCAAGGACAAGGTCAACAATTTCAGCAAAGAGGTTCATTCCAGCCGCCTCCGTAGTTTCAACCTCAACAATTCCATGCACCGCTAGGATTTCAGCAACAACATCAACCGAAGGCACCATTTCAGCCGGGTGCCCAACATCAACATCAAGTGTCACCGTAAGCTCCTAGTGGCTCAGGTATGTCATTAGAGGATGTAGTTAAGTTTATGGCTGCTAACATGGTGAAATTTCAACAGGAAACTCAAGCGAGTATTCAGGACCTTCAAGCCACCATTGGCCAATTAGCAAACAAAGGTAAATTACCGTCTCAAATGGAGATGAATCCGAAGGCAAATGTGAGTGCTGTCACTTTGAGAAATGGAAAGGAGCTTCAAGAGGTTGGAAAGAAGAAGAAAGAAAAGGTTCACGAGGAAAAAGAAGAGTTAGAGGTCAAGACATCCATTTCGGGAGCAAAGGATGTCAAAGAAGAGGAGGCAAAGAAGAAGACACCTGAAGTGATAGTTCAAGCACCGCCATTCCTGAGCCAGTTTGAGAAGACAAAGTGGAAGAGCAAAGAGAAGGAGATCCTTAACACATTCCGGAAAGTTCATGTAAACATCCCTTTACTAGATACAATTAAGCAAGTTCCTAGATATGCTCAGTTTTTGAAAGAGTTTTGTACAAATAAAAGGAAACTAAAGGGTAATGAAAAGATAAGTATGAGTCAAAATGTGTCTGCTGTTTTGCAAAAACAGTTACCACCAAAGTGTAAAGACCCGGGCATGTTTACCATATCATGTAAGGTAGGCAATGTCTCGGTAAATCAAGCCATGTTGGACTTGGGGGAATCAATTAATGTTATGCCATTGCCATTTACTCATCTTTGGATGTAGGGCCCCTCAAGCCACCGGTGTCGTAATCCAACTAGTGGATAGGTCTATTGTCTACCCTAAAGGGGTATTAGAGGACATGCTAGTTCAAGTGAATGAATTGGTCTTTTCGGTAGATTTTTATGTTATAGATATGGAGAAGAAAAATGCCTCCAAGGCTGGTATGCTTTTGCTAGGTAGACCATTTTTGAAAACCTCTAAGACTAAGATAGACGTCCTTAGTGGTAGTTTGACCATGGAATTCGATGGCGAGATGATTAAATTTAATATATATGATGCCATGCGATATCCGAGTGATGTTTCATCATTACGCTTTGTTGATATTATCGAGTCTTTATCTGATACTATGTTTGATCTATCTAATCGGGATGCGTTAGAAGTGATTCTAGACAGGGATTTAATGAGTGGAAGTTTGAAGAAGCTTGCCCAAGAGTACAAGCTTGATGATGATTTTGCAGAATTGGTGTATTGGATGGAGAAAGGGCGAGTACCAAAGCCAAGGTATGAAGTTTTAAAAATAGATTTACCTATGTCTCACACTAGACTTTTGCCTTCTGTTGAATAGGCACCCGAGCTAGAGTTGAAGATGCTACCACATCATCTGAAGTACGCCAACGTGGGAGATAAAGAGACCCTTCCGATGATCACATCCGCCACATTATCATCAAAGGAAGAAAGAGAGCTTGTGGATGTTTTGAAGGAGCACAAGAGGCGATTGGATGAACCATCACCGACATCAAGGGCCTTAGTCCCTCACTTTGCCATCACAAGATTCTATTAGAGGAAGAGTACAAGCCATTCCAAGAGGTGCAGAGGAGGTTGAACCTACCGATGATGGAAGTTGTCAAGAAGGAGATACTTAAGCTTTTGGATGCCAATATGATCTACCCAATCTCTGACAGCAAGTGGGTAAGCCCGGTCCAAGTAGTCCCTAAGAAAACTGGCATTACTGTGGTAGAGAATGCCGAAGGTGTGTTAGTGCCCACCGTGTTCAAAACGGGTGGAGAGTATGTATTGGTTATCGTAAGCTTAATTCATCAATTAGAAAAGACCATTTTCCCCTTCCATTCATAGACCAAATGTTAGAAAGGTTAGCCAGTCATACTCACTAATGTTTTTGGATGGTTATTCAGGTTTTCATCAGATACCGGTAGCGAGAGAGGACCAAGAGAAGACCACGTTCACCTGCCCCTTCGGTACATTTGCCTAACGGAGGATGCCTTTGGTCTTTGCAGTACATCGGCAACATTCCAACGATGTATGGTGAGTATATTTTTAGAATATGTAGAGAATATTATTGAGGTTTTTATGGACGATTTCACAGTTTATGGTGAGTCGTTTAGTTCATGCTTAGATAACTTGACCACAATTTTAAAGAGGTGCATTGAAACTAATTTGGTTTTAAATTATGAAAAATGTCAYTTCATGGTCAACCAAGGTATAGTACTTGGTCATGTTATCTCGGAAAGGGGTATAGAGGTTGACAAGGCAAAGATCGATGTCATAAAATCCTTGCCTTACCCCTCGAGTGTTAGAGAGGYCCGTTCTTTTCWYGGTCATGCAGGTTTCTACCGGYGTTTCATWAAAGACTTCTCGAAGATCACTCGACSCCTTTGTGAACTTCTAYAAAAARAKGYAGACTTTGTCTTCAATGAGGTATGTAAGAGTTCATTTGATTTATTGAAAGATATGCTTACTTCTGCCCCTATCATCCGACCTCCAAATTGGCAATTGCCATTTGAGATTATGTGTGATGTTAGTAATCATGCCGTCGGAGCGGTATTGGGACAGAAAGACGGTAAAAGCCCTTATGTTATATATTATGCATCACGATCACTTGATAGTGCACAATGCAACTACTCAACCACCGAGAAAGAGTTGCTAGCAGTTGTTTTTGCTTTAGAAAAGTTTAGATC